ATCGTCTCAAATTTTTTTTGCATACGTTTCAGGTCATTTAAAGCATTTTATAAAAAATCGCGCGTACGAGCATGCGCGCGCGTTTTCGCGCGTAACACCATTACAAAACATAGAATCGCCATTTTTTTTTCTTTCATGATATTTCTCATATTTTTTCAAGGAATTTGATACCATGTTTATTTCTTTATGACCATTATGAACAAGATGAGCGTCAATTCAAGATAAATGTCAGTGCGCGCGAGGTCTTTTAATACATAGCATATATGGGCAAAAACATGCCTATACAAAATCCGTTAAAGCTCTTTGGAATGCACCGTGATCCTCAATTATTTTTCATATTTAGATAGAGTATGAGTCGGAAATATGATTTCATGTCTCATTTGGCCATTAAGTGTATCGTGACATCATCACAATGGCCTTGGAACTCAAAATACGAATTTGCATATTATGACGTCAGCATATTTATGTAAAATTGATTGTATCTCTGTAAATATTGATCAATTTTCTTCAAAATTTCGATATGTTGTAGCTAAGACAATTCTCTACAAGCGCAGTAATAACTATTTTTCATTTTGATGACGTCATCATAGTGAAAATTTTGATTAAAGGCCTCATGTCAAAAACTTCATAATTTGCGTGTTATGCCTATAGAAGGTGAATTTAGTTCACGTTATAAATCTACATGATATTGTTTTTTAAGAATTTGTAAGCAGTATGTCGCTTATTTTTGCTCTATTTTGTCTCAAGTTTTAGTTGACCAGCCCACCTATACTTGTTCCAAACAAGTATTATATGTCTAGTTTATTTATTTATTTATTTTTCTTATTTCGACCCACTTTTTGTTAGCACGATAACTTAGAAAAAGCTTAATCAAATAACTTGAAATTTGGCACACATATGTATAGGCATATGGAGAAAACACAGTAAGGTTTTCAACCTTGACCTTGACTGATGACGTCATCTAGGCGCCATTTTGTGAAATTTTCTGAAAATAAACTCATGATCATATCTTCATAACCAAAAGGTATTTCTCATTCATATTTATTATGATCAAGGTCAATATCAGTCAAGTCAATTTCAGGTCAAAAAACGCGCGCGTGCGCGTACGTCCGCGCGTCAATGCGCGCGCAAAATTTTTAAATGCTCAAAATCGTCTCAAATTTATTTTGCATACGTTTCAGGTCATTTTAAGCATTTTATAAAAAATCGCGCGTACGAGCATGAGCGCGCGTTTTCGCGCGTAACACCATTAAAAAACATAGAATCGCCATTTTTTTTTCTTTCATGATATTTCTCATATTTTTTCAAGGAATTTAATTCCATGTTTATCTCTTTATGACCATTATTAACAAGATGAGCGTAAATTCAAGATAAATGTCAGTGCGCGCGAGCTCTTTTAATACATAGCATACATGGGCAAAAACATGCCTATACAAAATCCGTTATAGCTCTTTGGAATGCACCGGGATCCTCAATTTTTTTTCATATTTAGATAGAGTATGAGTCGGAAATATGATTCCATGTCTCATTCGGCCATTAAGTGTATCGTGACATCATCACAATGGCCTTGGAACTCAAAATACGAATTTGCATATTATGACGTCAGCATATTTATGTAAAATTGATTGTATCTCTGAAAATATTGATCAATTTTCTTCAAAATTTCGATATGTTGTAGCTAAGACAATTCTCTGCAAGCGCAGTAATAACCATTTTTCATTTTGATGACGTCATCATAGTAAAAATTTTGATTAAAGGCCTCATGTCAAAAACTTCATAATTTGCGTGTTATGCCTATAGAAGGTGAATTTAGTTCACATTATGAATCTACATGATATTGTCTTTTAAGAATTTGTAAGCAGTATGTCGCTTATTTTTGCTCTATTTTGTCTCAAATGTTAGTTGACCAGCCCACCTATACTTGTTCCAAACAAGTATTATATGTCTAGTTATTTATCAGGTGGGCTGTATAACGTACAGACCACCTTATAATTTCGTTAGAATTGCCTTTATTTATTTATTTATTAAATATTTTTCTTATTTCTAACCACTTTTTTGTTAGCAAGATAACTTGAAAATGGCTCGATCAAATGCCTTGAAATTTGGCACACATATGTATAGGCATATGTACAAAGCACAATAACGTTTTCAACATTGACCTTCACTGATGACGTCATCTAGGCGCCATTTTGTAAAATTTTACGAAAATCAACTCATGATCATATCTTCATAACCAAAAGGTATTTCTCATTCATATTTATCATGATCAGGGTCAATATCCGTCCGGTCAATTTTAAGTCAAATAACGCGCGCTTGCGCGTACGTCCGCGCGTCAATGCGCGCGCAAAATTTTGAAATGCTCAAAATCGTCTCAAAATCATTTTGCATACGTTTTAGGCCATTCTAAGCATTTTATAAAAAATCGCGCACACGCGCATGCGCGCGCGTTTTCGCGCGTAAAACTATTAGACACCATAGAATCGCCCTTTTTTTTCTTTCATAATATTCCACATATTTTTACAAACAAATTGATACCATGTTTGTCTCTTTATGACTATTAATAATTGAATAATGGACCGTTTAACATAAATTTCAGTGCGCGCGAGCTCTTGTAATACATAGCATATATGGGCAAAAACATGCCTATGCAAAATCCATTGTAGCTCTTTAGGATGCAAGGTGACCCCAATCTTTTTTCATATTTTGATTGAGTATGAATCAGAGATATAATTTCATGTCTCATTTGACCCTCAATTAACTCATGACGTCATCATAATGGCCTCTGAACTCAAAATTTCAATTTGCCTATTATGACGTCAGCATTTTTTTGGAAAATTGATTGTATCTTTCTAAAAATTGATTAATTTTCTTCAAAATTTTGATATGTTCTAGCTGAGACAATTCTCTACAAATCTAATCCTCACAATTTTTCATTTTGACAAAGGCATCATGGCGTATTTTTGCGATTAAAGGAGGCATGTCAATTTTTCACATTTTGCGTGTATTCTCTATGGGACATGACTTTTTCTCAAAACTTGATTCTACATTCCCGTCTTTCGCGAGCAATATCTACGTCGTTTTAGCTTCATTTACGCTGAACTTCGAGTATGTTGTAGCTGAGACAAAAAGCTATCTCAAATGTACCCTTTATTTTGTCTCAATTTTTTGTTGGATCAGCCCACCTATACTTGTTCCAAACAAGTATTACAAATCTAGTTTATTTTTCTTATTTTGACCCACTTTTTTGTTAGCAAGATAACTTTGAAATAGTTCAATCAAATGCTTTGATATTTTGCACACATATGTATAGGCATATGGACAAGACACGGTAACGTTTTCAACCTTGACCTTGACTGATGACGTCATCTAGGCGCCATTTTGTGAAATTTTCTGAAAATCATCTCATGATCATATCTTCATAACCAAAAGATATTTCTCATTCATATTTATCATGATCAAGGTCAATATCAGTCCGGTTAATTATAGGTCAAAAAACGCGCGCGTGCGCGTACGTCCGCGCGTCAGTGCGCGTGCAAAAAATTGTAATGCTCAAAATCGTTTCAAATTTTTTTTGCATAGGTTTCAGGTCATTTTAAGCATTTTATAAAAAATCGCGCGTACGAGCATGCGCGCGCGTTTTCGCGCGTAACACTATTACACAACATAGAATCGCCATTTTTTTTCTTTCATGATATTTCTCATATGTTTTCAAGGAATTTGATACCATGTTTATCTCTTTATGACCATTATTAACAAGATGAGCGTAAATTCAAGATAAATGTCCGTGCGCGCGAGCTCTTTTATTACATAGCATATATGGTCAAAAACATGCCTATACAAAATCCATTATAGCTCTTTGGAATGAACCGTGACCTTCAATGTTTTTTCATATTTAGATAGAATATGAGTCGGAAATATGATTCTATGTCTCATTTGGCCATTAAGTGTATCGTGACATCATCATAATGGCCTTGGAACTCAAAATACGAATTTGCATATTATGAAGTCAGCATATTTATGTAAAATTGATTGTATCTCTGTAAATATTGATCAATTTTCTTCAAAATTTCGATATGATGTAGCTGAGTCAATTCTCTACAAGCTCAGTCAACACCATTTTTCATTTTGATGATGTCATCAGAGTGAAAATTGCGATTAAAGGCCTCATGTCAGAAATTTCACAATTTGCGTGTTATGACTATAGAAGGTGAATTTCGTTGACGTAATGAATCTACATGATATTGTTATTAAGAATTTTAAAGCAGTTTCTCGCTTATTTTTGCTCTATTTTGTTTTCAAATTTTAGTTTACCAGCCCACCTATACTTGTTCTAAACAAGTATTATGTCTAGTTAACATTATTTTTATGCCTCCGCCACCGAAGGTGGTGCCGGAGACATCATGTTTTCGGGTTGTCCGCCCGTACGTCCGTCCGTCCGTACGTCCGTCCCGTTTGACCGTTATCACAATATCTCAAGAACCATTTCAGATTTAAACTTAAGACTCGGGAATAGTATTTATTACCATAGGAAGACGATCTGATTAGATTTTGGAGTACGTAGGTCAAAGGTCACAGGTCACAGAGGTCAACTTATGACATTCCTTGTATTGAGTTTGTTAGCGCGATATCTCAAGAACCATTTGAGATTTAAACTTCAAACTTAAGGATAGTATGTATCACCATAGGAAGACGATCTGATTAGATTTTGGAGCACGTATGTCAAAGGTCAAGGGTCACAGAGGTCAACTTATGAAATTCCATACATTGAGATTGTTATCATGATATCTCAAGAACCACTGGTGATTTAAACTCCAAACTTGTTTAAATTGCTCTATGGCGGAGGCATCATTTTCGACTGCGCGCAGTCAAAATTCCATCTAGTTTATTGTTGTTTTAATCATGGTTAGTATTATCATTGTTATCATTTACTTCTTGTTATTATTATTATTATTATTATCAGCAATCGTCATGATTACTATTATGATATTTTGTTATACTAGTATGGAAACTCTCCTGCAGTGCTTGCAGCAGTGAAAGAAAGACTGTATGGAGCTTTGTCACTTCCGGCAGGATTGGAGTCCTCCCAGTTCATCAATGGTATCAACTTTATTCTTAAGGTCACGTGGGTTGATGTGCAGAATCCAGGATCAATCGCAGGACAGGAGGTGATGTTTTTTTTCAATGATATTTTATTTTCTCCATTGCTTTTCACATCTAACATCCAACATAGAGGGCAGATTCGAATTACTCCCTCTCCTTTCCGCCTGATAATTAACCCCCACCCCCTCCCCCCCCCCCCATTTCCTCCTATTTCCTCCTATCTGTGTACTTATTTTATCACGTATCGTGATTATACAATACTTGGTGAAGTCTCTGCTTCGTTGTTGATGATCCACTGCAATCTGTTCCGAGGTTCTTTCCTCTTTGGAGCATCGTGGTATATTGTTAAACTAATTTTAGATTCATACGAGATGTCCCGGGTTCAATAATTGCATAGGTTGCTCTTTTCTTACATCCTGATATAAGGTGTTTTGAACACATTTGTATCCTTCTTTCTACATGTATTTAATTTGTATCTGACAATGCTAGGGGAATAATAATTGCAGGACCCGCAGGAAGAGCACTATTAATACTGATGCAACCTTATGTACACTCTCCCCCTTTCAGACCAATACCTACCAAGCAATTCTCTTTACTGACGGCAGAAGAAGCGGTGTCTTGACGATGTATGAACAAGGAAGCTTTCAGTGGAATCCGTACTCTAAGGTTATACCTGCTAGGATTGGTTACAACATCAAACATGACAGACTGAATATCTACCAGGGAAACTATCCTGCCATACGGTACACAAGCTATCGCCCTGATCTCAGGATTGGCAACACCGGTCTCATGGTAAGGACTGTTTACGTGAATATACTTGTAGTTAACAATATCGTTATGTCAGGACGGCTGTCACGTCCCTTACCTAACAACAGAAATCATGAGTAATTAGACAGTAAAGATTTGTACAATAAGAACAGCCTTGCTTTACGACACGCAATCAATCGTTAAGCAAACTGTAAGGACTATTGACTTGAATAAGTTAGTAATTATGTCTCTTACCTAAAATCATGAGATATGAATAAACATTATTAGGTAGAAAGTAGAATCACTATACTATGCGATACGTCAGCTATTGCTCTGATCTTAGAATTACACTGGTCTCATAGAAGGTAACATTTCCCTGAATATAATTAGGAATGTCGTTATTTTAGGGCCGCTATTACGTCGTTCCCCCTCCCCCCTGCCTTAAAAGTGAAATAAATCATAACAAATTATTGAAGCTTATTACAAATTACAAGAGCCCTGCTATATTATACAACCAATATAATAATCATGATAATAATAACATGGATCACACCGTAGTTCAAACCATGTTTTGCTCATACGTACAGGGGAGAGACATCTATCGTCTTGACGCAAATCCTGACTGGTACGTCAACCCCCGCCGTTACTGTCAAGATTGGTACCTGGATGATCTCTCAAAGATATCATATGCACGGTGGGCACAGCCATGTCCTTGCACCCGCTGGCAGGCCAGGATCGATCGAAGGTTTACTCGATGCAACTATCCCTCCTACGGATATGGTTACGGATATGGTTACGGATACGGGTTTAGTTATGGCTACAGCTATGGGCTGCAGAGTTATAATTACGGTGAGCAGCATTGTTTTAATGTCACTTTATAATAATCATAACGGCCCCTGTAATTATAATTACACCAGCATTGCCAGGTATGTCCATTTACACATGTGCCGAGAGGGACAAATGTCAATAAAAATCCTTGTACACGGATGTAAACACCAAACAATGAAGGATCAAAACCCAGGACCTCTTTTATGAGAGTCACTAATTTTCACCAATATACCATGCAGAGTAATCCCACTTTTCATTTTTTATTTTCGCAACCAGTATTTTCTTTTCACCGTTTACAAAACCCTTTGATATATATTTTATCCTGAGGAGTGGCTTGCAAAAAAGATTTTGTTTCCTATTGAGAGAGATTCATCACCAGTTAAATGCACACGCATAAAGTAATATTAATTATGATAACAATAATACTCCCCGTTAACGATGTGTATACGCGCTTGACAGATATATTATTACACCGGTCATCGAATACAGGCTTGCCCGTACACACTGTATGCACTTTCTCCACTCCCTGGGGACCATTCCAGCCATGCGCAATTTTACAGACACTCACAATGCTGAGCATACTACATTTACTTTCGCATCCTACTGGGTACCCATTTTACACCTTGGTTGAGAGTGACAAATGTTGACAAACGTCTATCCAAAGGACGTTAGTCCCGGGCAAATATCTGACTGGACAATAAAATACTTAATTTAAATTTCCATTAGTATTTCAAATCCTTTTCATTAAGATCATTCCAATACCTCAACGTATAATTATGTCAACTACACAATCAAACTTTTCAGATGTTTCCTTTCTACAGTTTTTTTCCTAATTTAGTCACAATGACCAGTGCCCGACTTCTTTTAACTACTGTCTTAGCCAGAACTTCTGAACGGTGTGGGGGCGGGGGGGGGGGGGGGTGTTGACACTCAAACACCTTGGAGCGGATAGGTCCAAGTTACGTAGATAATCTTTCTTTTTTAGCGGATGATCAGGAGGGGCGGGGAGCATAGACCACTGTGCATTTCATTAACCATGTTTCCTCTCTGCATTCCGTTAACAGATGGAAGAGGAACGACCTGTTACCAGCCTAGATGGCCCTCATTTGGTGGTGGTGGATACCGTTGTACTTACGATCAGTCTGCTTTGAGCAGGGGTTATAGGGCCAGTCACTATCAAGCAGTCGTGCCCTCAAATGCTCGATTCTTCTCTTATTACTATTATTCCCTGTATTACTATTATTCTTGGATTGGTGAGTACACCTAAATTCCTGTGATTCCAGTTGACTAACGTTACATTTAAAGGCGTTGCAGGTAGGCGCGTACGCGGGGGGGGGGGGGGGGGGGTGGGGGGGTTAAACCCCCCCCCCCATCCCCTTTGAGATTGTGTATTTGTGTATTTTGGAGAACCCCCCCCCCCCCCCTTTTGTTTTTTTTTACCTAAAAAGGTGACCTTACCCCACCCCCGCTTACTCAGCGGCCCGATTTAAAAATGTTAACCCCCCCCCCCCCCACCTTGAAAAAATCCTGCGTACGCTACTGCATGTAGGGATATGCAAGGTGAACATCTCAAAATGGTGTAAAATTCATAACCCAAAACTTCCTTATAATAAAGTGGCAAAATGTTCATTATTCGCAAAAAGACAGTCATTTTTATTTTCAAGTTTGTATTTTTCAACTGGCAGTGTTTAATTCACCCCCATTTGTTGTGTACAAATTGGGGGCTTCATTCTTCAATCATAGAGAATAAACCACAGAGTCATCTTAGATTGTGTACATATACTTTCATAAACTCATCTTGCTCTTACAGTTTAATTTTGAGATAATTTATTGAAGGCTTGCTAATCTGTGACGTGGGCTTTTAAATGTAAACAATTTCTACAAGGGTGACGTCTGGTTCTCTGTCTTTTATGTTTCCATGTGTGTTAGATTTGTTATGATAATCAATTCATTTGAAACATCCCCTAAAAGCATTTACTAATTTAATGCCAATAGTAATAAAAACGTAAAATTGAAATTTTGATATTTCCTTGTTTTTTTCTTCTGAGCGTTTGTTTTAGTAATAAAACGTAATTGGACAACTGTACAAAACAAATTCTGGGACATTCGGCCACTATTCAATTTGCTAATTGTTATCTCACTCCCACCCTCCTTCTCTTTCTGTCCCTCCCCCCCCCCTCCATCTCTCTTTTTCTCTTTCTCCCTTTTCGCTCTCTTCTTTCTCTCTCTGTCTTCTTTCTCTTTCTCTTTTCGCCCTTCTCTCTTTCTCTATCTCCATCCTCTCTCTCTTTTTCTCCCTTCTTTCTCTGTCCTATCTCTGTCTCTGTATTTTTCTATCCATCTCGTTCTGTACTTTCTTAATGATCTCCTTTTCTAAACTTGTTTTCATTTATTCAGAGAGGGATGTCCTACCCCGTTTCTTCTGCTGTGATCTGGCTGGAGGGAATTTCTGTAACCTTTACGAAAGTCGCCGACCAAGATCTCATTGCTCGGGATATAGACGACCATGGTTCGGTAAGATTATGTCTAGGGTATTTCTACACGAATAATTAATAATCATAATCTAATTATCTTACAGTTGTACTCATATATATGCACATCATTGTTTTGTTTGGGTTGATATCCATATACATATATATTTGTTTTCAACTCCTAGCATTATTAAATCAAATTGATAATTAGATAGGCCAATATGTTTAGGTGCATATACAGTCACAATGCACATAGAAATTAAGGCTGTGCATAACCGTGTAATGAGGTAATCGAGTACACTCCCAGGCATGTTTCTTTGTTTTTGAATTCGTGAATGTTTGTGATTTTTGAGATTTTGTTTTTTTTTGTTTTTTTGGTTGCCACCACCATACTACGTGAGATACTTAGCTAGGTATCTAAGTCCGTCTCCGAAAACTCAAGCGATTAAACTTCGAGTTGCAGTTGAAGGCGCCGATTTGATAATAATAATAATAGTAAACAATGCTGTTTTTAAAACCAAAGATGACAGAAAAATCCATTTTCCTCCAAGTCCAAACAGAAATCCGGACATTTGGTCCCAGTTTCTGAGTGGTGAGTTGACAGTGATTGAGCTGGGAAACAATTTTTACCCACGGTACAGTATTTTTTTTTACACGGCAGCGAGGCGAATTTCTAGATTAATTCCAATGAAACCGCTCGCGAAGAGTCTAGACTAGACCGAATCGGAGTACTAACAGTGCAGTGTATTATAAAGGGAATTGTACCAAGGAGTTACTACACTAGATCTATATAGAGAAGGAAATGAAGAATGACATCACAAGGAAAACAAGACAACAAAAGAGATAGGCCTAGATCTCTTATGCAATAAACAGAGACGGCAGAATGATATTATATGTGACACCATGGCACAGAGAGCGTGCACATATACATGCCATCGGCCACGTAGCAATTACAACAAAGTACTGAAGTAGATTCTAGTCTACATCGACAATACAAGTACGATAATAGGGTCTACGCCAACAGCGGTCTGTACTTATGAACTGGAAGAAGTCATAATATTCAGTACACTGCACTGCACTGCACATGGATAGCAGACTCTCCGCGAGCGGTTTAATTGGAATTAATCGAGCTTTTACCCTCGCTGCCGTGTAAATAAAAAATACGCGGCCTAGACAGTGCCAGACGCTGACAAAAAAAAAATGGCGGCCGAGTATTCTAGTACGAGAAATCGTACTCCAGTAGGCCTTGGGCACTTGTTCAGAAACCTACCCAAAATTTGACCCGTAATTCCGGCATGGAGATACCCTAGACCTACTAGACTATACCCAAAATAGTCTACAGTAAATATTCATTAAATGTCCAAATAAAGATCATGAGTTAAAAATCGTTATGACTGTTTATTATTTGTTTCATGTCAATTTTCTTGTTATTTTTTGAGTATTTTTCGGATAAACGTTGATATTAGTAAACACTTGTTCACAGGTTTCACGGCAAACCGCTGCACAATTGGTTGCGTTTACCGGTATACCTCTGTTTGATTATTAGAGGGATTGCTTTGAAAAAAATCTTGTTGGGTTTGGTGATCCCATAGTTTGCAGTTGCTTCTACTTTGTTGAATTTGTTCACACTGCAATAAGAAGTTTGATCGCGCCATCTCGATTCTTAACATTTCAGGATGGTTTTGGGGCGACCCGCACATCAATACCCTTGACGGTAGGAAGTACACCTTCAATGGTCTTGGGGAATACACCACGATGTCTTACAGTCATGGTGACCCGTTCATGCTGCAAGCCAGAACCGGTAAGGCGTTTAACAACAGCGTGCCTGTGGAACATGGGACAGTCTTCACAGGGTTCGCTGCAACACAAGACATCACTAGGGTATGTGGTTTCTATGATATCTTCTGCCGGTGTCGCAGTCGATTTGTACTTAATCTCCTAGCCGGAACTGATGGCATATACCACCGGCGATATAGCCCATCGGTTAGGTGATTCTGTTCTTGCGACAAGTGCTTCAGATTTGTTTTCATCAAAGGTGCAGAGTTGTGGTTAGGGTGCAGTGTGCGATCCAGGGTCTAAATTAGGATTTTGGTTAGTCTAGGAAATTCTACAGAGCTGCAACAGTCACATGTGCGGTAAATCCCTCGGTAACTAAATCTACCAGAATATACATAATTCCTTATAACCCTAAACCTAATCCTAAAGCCTGTTGCACACAGATGACAAAACTCATGCCATCCGCTTCTATCTCATTGTCTCCTCTCACCCTTCTCTCCCCTATCCTCCTACATACATGTTTTGTTTAAAGATTGGGTGATTTACTTTGCAAAATACATACAATACAGCTCTTAGGCCGCCATTTGAATTTGTGATAAATACTGTTTCATTTCAATTCAATGTTTGTTTTGCTTTATTTTTGATAGGTCGAATTCCAGCTGAATGATAACAGGACAGAAATTAGTATTCTAATTAATGGTACCGCCATCAATATGACGGAATTCCTAGTGGGTAAGTTTATATTATTTGACATCAAATCTACAGAAGCTTAAACGAGAAGCGAGAAGGCGACTTATTGTTTAACTCGCCAAGGCGCCATGTTAAAGACAAGAGGGCGAGTTGCTGCAACTCATCAACGCGCCTCGTTTAACTGGGCTATTTCAGATTTGACCCCCCCCCCCTAAGATCTCGGCCGTTTCACCGCCAATCGCCGCGAAAATGTGCATGCATGTCAAGTGAAGTGTATAGAATACTATGTATAGAATACTATGGTAACTTCAATTTTTTTTTTTTAAATTCACTCATTTGCATATGTTGGTAATTTATGCAAATAAGGTCATAAAATTCACATTTCTGCCCATAAATCATAGATTATTCATATTTAAGTATTCTTTTTCACTACATATATTCATTAGACCATTTTGAATAATAATACAACACAAAAAATAGGAAGAGCCAGGTTATTCTTTATGTTATCTCTTGTTTTTATAATTTCTTATGTATTTCAGTGTTTTTTTAACTTATGTATTTTATTGTTTTTGTTGTTTTATTTCATTTATAACTACAAATCAACTATTTTGACCCCAAAACAAACATCTAAACTTTAAACAAGACTGAATAACCAATGTTTAATCTATTTTTAGGAAAAATGACTTTTACATATGTTTTGTACACAAATCACGAAAATGAGCGATTTTCGGGCTGACATGCAAAGACAAAAGGTCACGTGACCTTGTAACCGTAGGTCCGATTTTCGAAAAAAAATTGTTTTAAAAGATGCGTAAGACTCAAAATTAAAAAGTCATGAAAGGAAAATTTTATATCTGACGCGGTTTCGGAGTAGTCGCAACATTTCTACAGAGGGGGGGGGGGGGGGGGGGGTCAAATTGACCCCCCCCCCCAGTTAACATAGGGTTAAGTCAATCGAGAAAGCGAGTCATCAAAAATCGCCAAGGCGCCTTCTTTAAGCCGAGAAGGTGACTGGTTGGAACTAATCAAGTCCCTTTCTTGCCTTTTCGATTCAAACAAGGCGCTGTGTCAGTTTAAATACTTGCCTTCTCGCATTTTCGTCTTAAACATATAACGCCTTGGTGAGTTTTGACAACGTGCCTTCTCGCGATCTCTTCCTTAAGACATCGCCTTGGCGAGTTAAACAGATCGCCTCATCTCTGTTCTTGATGTTCTTAGCGAGGATATGACAGTCATTCATTCTTTGAAGCTGTTCCATCGCTGGTACGGAAATGAACACCTAACTGATCTCAACCCAGATTGGTATTTAGAACCCAAATGTATTTTGGTAATGAAATGTAAATGTATTTGCTCACATACAGGAAATTATGGATTTTATTTAATAGTTGATACGGCATTCATCCTATCCGACTTTGAGCATTTAGGATTAAATTAAGAACAAGTCAAATAGATCCCCCAAAATGCAGATGCATTTGATCTGGATTATTCAACTTTCATCCCATCCTCTATCTAAAGCATCGGTCACAAATGCCATTACAAACTGCTACGAACGCTGTACGAACGATTTTTAGACAATGGAAATTCGGGAAGACAATGGAAAAACAGGGAGATTCGTACGAAATTATCGTTCGTACGAACCTTTGTGACCGAAGCATTAAATGTAAATCAAACAAATCTTTCCTTTCACATTCAGAGCACTTTCGCTCATTCAATTTGAATTCCAGCTATCCATCTTGGGACTTTTAACTAAATACCAAATGCATCCATTCTCATATAGATGGTATCGACTCATCGGATCCGACCTTCATCCTATCAGCGGAGAATGACACAGCCTCTGAAGGTGAGATCAAGGTCACAGCCCTCTTCCAACCAGAAGGCTATCCCAGTTCGTCCTTCACCGTGACTTTCAAGAACGGCCTCTTGGAATTGGGTGTCATGGTCCCTTCTGAGTATGCGCAGAATGGAACCGGGAGAGGTCTGCTCGGTAAGTCATTTTTTATTTCGTCAGAATTGTCTTTCTTTCTTATTATTATTCTTATATTTATAGGTGGTCTGTCATCGACAGAGTACCTATTGATTTCATCAGAATTTTCTTTCTTCTTTGGGCGCGTTTATCGCGTCTTACCACTAGATATGTACATATATCGAACCCCACTATACCATCGTGATTAGCGGGATGTCGCGTTTATCGGCTCTTCACGATTCAAAATAAAGGCTATGTCTCTGCGCAGCTGCTTTGCGCCGTTTGACCCAGGAAGCAGACTGCAGTTTCTCGGAGGTCAACTACACACACATGCTTGTACAACAACATGACACAACACATGGCATATGCCCTAGCCTCCGAACCGGAAATTAACCTGGGGGTCCGATTTGTATTTGGGGTTCAAAACAGCTTTGCGTTTATCATCTTTCAGAAACGTGATCCTGGCTGTATGTCGCATTTAAAACTCACCTTTTTTGGCGTTACAATATGCTCATATCTAAAGACGTTTGAAAAGGGCTTTGCGTCTATCACCTTAGAAATTTGCTTGGAATACATTTAAGAAACTTAATTCTGGGCAAAAAATTGATCAATAAACTCACCCTTTAATTATTTTTATTTATTTCTCCGCATTTGCTTGCAAAGTCATAGGTCATTGTCATAAGATGTGTCTCCAACATTTTCAAGTTCATCAGGTCATTATGACGTCAACCAGGCGCTATTTTGTGAAATTTTCTGAAAATCAAGTCATGATCACATCTTCATAACGGAAAGTCATTTCTCAAACATATTTATCATGATCAAGGTAAATATCCTTCCGGTCAATTTAAGGTCAATAAACGCGCGCGTCAGTGCATGTGCCTGCGAAATGTTGAAATGCTCAAAATTACTTTCTAAATCAAATGAAAGTACATTTCTGGCAATTTTAAGCATTTCAACATTTTGCACGTGAGCATCTTCATTCGTCATGGCCGTTTGCAACATAGAATCAATTTGTATGCCTCCGCTACAAAGTAGCCGGAGGCATTATGTATTCTGGTTGTCCGTCCCTCCGTACGTTCCGTTCTCGTGATCGCGTTATCTCAAGAACCGATTGATGGATTACCGGCAAACCTGGGTCATGTTTGTATCTTGCAGATCCAATGAAGTGAGTAGATTGTTGGGGTTACGAGGTCAAAGGTCACAGGGTTCATTATGTATGCAAAAGTAGCTCGTGATCGCGTTCTCACAAAAACCGATTGATGGATAACCGCCAAACATGGGTCATGTATGTATCTTGCAGAGCCAATGAACTGATAAAATGTTAATGTCATGAGGTCAAAGTTGAAAAAGGTCATATGAAAAATAGCTTTTAATTACGATATTCTGAGAACCTGTTAATGAATTACACTCAAATTTGAATTTTTAAAATAGCTTCTGTTTTTGTTTGTAAAATCGCTTTTTGACGGAGGCATCATTTTTGACCGTGTGCAGTCGAACATCCATCTATTTTTTTCCTTCATATTTGAAAAGAGTATGAGCCAGAAATTTGATTTCATGTCTCATTTCGCCATCAAGTATATCATGACATAATATTGGCCTTGGAACTCAAAATATGAATTTTCATATTATGATGTCACTGCATATTTATGGAAAATTCATTATATTGATTGTTGGGATCATGTCGAAATGTTCAATTGAAAGTTGAAATTGCGACTATGACAAGGCTGTTTGTCAGCTTTGCATGTTAAGTATATGGGAAATATTTTGGTCTATTTGTTAAAACACTTGCCTCCCATTCTGGCGACCCACTTTCAATTTCCGGTGGGTCAATTTTCCCTTTTAATTTTTTTGCTGTAATTTCATATTTGATTTTATCACCTTTTTCGACAATTATAACATATACAGTATACTATCACCAAAAATATGATAAAATGCCTAATTTGGCGTGTTATATTTATCGGAGAGGAATGTCAATAGTTTGCATACATGGGAAATCTGATTCCTTGTCGTGTATTAAACCCATATAGGGTTAATCTTAAAGTCTGCTACAATATCAAATAGTCTTATTTCTATGGTGCTAGTTTCCTTCCCAGACGTTTTTTATTTTCCAGTTATTCAGCCCAGGTATATATTTTATTTATGCTGGAAATATTGAATGCCTTATTCTCATTGCATCTCTCTCTATCTATATCCTCTCTCTTGCTCTGTTTCCCTTCCCCTCTCTTTGGTCTGCGCCTCTCCTTCTCTTGCTTTGTCTCTGCATCTCTCTCTCTCTCTCTCTCTACTCTTTCACCCTCTCCCTCTCTCTGTCTCCCTCTCCCTCTCTTGCTCTGCCTCCCTCTTCTTCTCTTGCTCTCTCTCTCTCCCTCTGTCTCTGCCTCTGTCTCTCTCTCTCCATCTCTCTGTTAACAACAAAGATCCTTTGAAAAAAACAGGCAGACCACCTCATTCGTCTTCAAGGGACAAATTCTTATATCATTTATATTGCTTCTCTCCACCCAGGCGCGATGGCTCTGTGGTAGAGCAGTGGTCTCGTAAAGGGCAGGGCCGCGATTCGAAACCAATTGATGCGCTATAGTGCCGTTTAGTAAGGCATTAATCTTCATTACCTCACTGTAGGTCCCTCAGATAGGACTAATAGCCATTGATACCCTGGATGCTTGCAAGCGTACACTTGCTTTCTTAGCAGACAGGTAAAACAAACCATTAAACCATCAAGTGGATGGGTACCCGGTAGGATTAGAAAGTCATTGCTGTTGACTCAGCATTGTGAACGTCTGTAAAATACAGCCTCAATCGTTATATCGTTCAAGCGCTTTCGTTAGGTATATGTAAAGGGCGTCTCTAAATGTTAATAGGGAAAAAACTGCAGAGAAATCTACTTCACAAGTAACTCTAAACCTTTCCCGAATCTCATACCCTAACATTTTACTGCTTCTAACATATTGCCTCTAACCTTAATCCGAAAGTCCATTTATCCGTTTTTCAATATGGGTGTCAGAAAACTTTGCTGTACGTTTTCAACATGCAATACCTAAAGGTGCCCAGAATAAGCATAAACTCCAAATGTTATCCATGAATATGCAAGTATGATTTCAGTTTTAAGGTTTTACAAATTGAAACAAATAACAACAAATTTAAAATGTGATACTGTTTTTCTTTGTGTTGAAACAGGTAATGTAAATGGGAACAAATCAGATGATTTTCTGCTCAGGAATGGAACATTATTAATGGATCTGTCTGAAAGAAATTTAACAGACAGAGAAATATTTCAGTTTGGACAGTCATGTAAGTATTCAAAAGAGTTTTCTTGCCATACCATGTCTTAATGTTTATTGAGATCAGTCCCAAATGTATTCAATATTATAAAATCAGTGTTTGTTGTGTGTTATCTATTGTTGGGTAACAATTTGAGGCAGCATTTTGTCAGCGTGCCTTTTATCATTTGTATTTCTTTATCCTATTGTCGTATACAATTTATAAAGAGAACAGTATGTGTTTTTTTAATGATTTTGTTTCCCTATATACATGTATGCTAAAATATATGTAGACAGACTTCTCACACTTGTGGGCATGGTCTAGTGTCTAGGGTGTAATGTATAAATCTCTCTCTAACAGTAATGAATTTATATTAACAGGGAATCAAAAGTAACATAATTCAGGAGTATTTACGTAGTTAGCTCATTGTGTTGGCGTGAGCTGTTTCTTTTAAATAAAAAATATACCTTCCAAACCTTTTGCCCCCCCCCCCCTGCAATTTTAAAATTAATTTATACATGTTTTGTAGTTTTTTTGTCTTTATATTGTGTTTACCGCTGTGTTTTGTGGTATCTTTAACTAATATACATGTATGCTCAGTAATATAGATAATATAAATTATAATATTCTGCGAACTCTTTATTCAAGGCCACCATGGGCTTTTCCTTTGTTCTACTATTTTATTTGAAGCTATTGTATTAACTGCACATTCTTTGTTTATATACTTGTATGTTTATTTGCATTTGCTGTGTTTTTTATGAAAATTAAATGAATAAACGAACTCGAACTCAAATAACACTATTTTTTATGGGGGGGGGGGGATTCGTATCGAGTAGGACTTTAATTTCCATCTAACTGATTAGATGGGTAGTAGAGAGTAAGGAAAATGAAAGGAACACCAAGAAAGAGGTTGATAGATTGTCTTTAGGAAGACGGTAGAGAAATTCATCTTATGATGACTGTGATGATGATAATGATAATAATGATGATGATTATTGTGATGATGATGATGATGATAATGATGATAGTGATGATGTAGATTCTCCAGTCATGTAAGGAATACTGTATCTTCACTAATCTCCCATTAACTATTTGTTAACATTGATTTTGTTACTTCTCAGGGATGATTAGTGAAAATGAATCGCTGTTTGAATACGACGATGGGAATTGGAGTTACTACAATCCTAGCGACTACAAACCAATGTTCTTAGACGAGCTGCTCGCTCTCGACCCTGACCGAACCCAGGCGGCCCGAGAGGCTTGCGGGGAGGACGAGGCGTGTCTGTTCGACTACCTCGCTGTGAGTCCAGAGATGGGTAAACAGACTATGACCACAGGAAACCAACTCGACAATGACCTCCAAAACCTTGGTGAGATGTGGCAATAACTTGCGCCGTTTTAATTCTTTAGGGAGATCAGAAGATGTTTTGTATTCAACCCTATCAGAATTCATGAAATTTCTGCAATGGCTCAGGGGTAGAGCAGTGGTCTCGTAGCCGGCGCTAGTGCCCTTTGGTAAGGCATTAACCCTCATTACTAGGTCCACCTGAGAGGATTTAAAGCTGTCGGTCCCCTGATTGCTTACTAACAAGCATACACATGCTTTCTTAGCAGTCAGGTAAAACAAACAAACAAATGAGCAATTATCTCATAGAATATGAGACCAAGTCAGTGTGTTTAGAACACCGTGGCCAACCTTTTAAAGCTCGCGGGCCACAGTTAACGATCGGCATAACCTGGCGAGCCGTAGGTAGTCTCCCCACCCCACCCCCCCCCCCCCACCCCTCAGGGTACTCAGATTTGGATTGGACGGGGGTGTGCCGCTCAAGCCCCGAAACCCCTACCCATTCTTAGGAGTCATTAGTCTTGAAAAAATCCCCCTTTTTAACAATTTTCAGGTATTTTTCGGGACCCATTTTTAATGGTATTTTTGTTAAAAGTGGGATCATGTTTAGGGATTTTTTATGAAAAAGTAACACGTTAGAGCGGCACGCCCCCGTATGTCCTCATGTGTGAGTACCCCCCCCCCCCCCACACACACACACACACACACACACACACTCGCTCATGCAATATGTGTACACACACCTGCAATTTTCCAATAACAAACAAGCAAACAACAAAATCAGTGGGGAAAAAATCAGGCTTACTTTTTTAGTTTGATTTCGTGGTGACAAGTGAGCTAAAGTAGTTAACCTTTCTCTTCCTTGAAGAAATACTTCAGAGACCAATATGATTTAAAAGTTCTGCCTTCATCAAAAACTTTCCTTTTCTTCGCAAGTCGATACCATTTTTGGTTGTTATTTCAAATAAAATCAAGGACACAGCGTAAAAATATCCTAACTTTATTATTTGAACACTGTACATCTCATTGTACGCGGTGTATAGGGGAGGGGACTATCCAGTTTACTATTAAGATTCATGAGAAAATTCAACGGCGGGAGAAAAGGGTTGTAAGTTTCAAAACAAGTATGGCATTTCAAACATATTTCTTGATTCACAACATTTGTATATTTACAAACGTTACTGCATGCAAAAATTACAAACTTAAATAAACACGGCGAGTGAAGTAAATGTCGTTAATGTAATGAAATGAGAGGGAATTTGAGGTGTTTTGTATCAACCACGTAACAAGTCAATATAACATGTTGTGAATGATGAAAACAAATTAAGAAAATAGAGATAGCTGTGTGTAAATGTTTTACCCTATTTCATCGCTGCTATGCGGCCCGCATTTCTTTTATGAAATATTTTTTTATAATTACTTTCTCAATGCTTCGCGGGCCTTTTGCCCCGAGTTATCCTTTTTTTTCCCCCTTCTTAATCGTAACATATTAATTGATTAAAATATGGCTGCATTTTTGTTATACTTTTGAAATCCTATAGATAATTTTCCTCCGAACGTAACCAACGTGGTAGAGACTAGCGAGACAGATGCTTTACAAGAAGGGGAGGTTCTCTTCATGCAAGTGGGCGTGACCGTTACCTTGGAGATTTCTGCACATGACCCTAACGAAGATGATGAGGTTTTCTTTATTTTCAACGATACAGCACCAGATGGCGCCAATATCAGCTCAGGTATGAACGAAAGAATTGCTTATGAACTTGTTTTTAAAATATCATAACAAATTATACTCTTTAAGATGATAGATCAGACTGATTATTTGTAAAACGATGAATCGCAATGCTAAATATGCAGATTGATCTTTTGATGAGTGCACCTTATACTGATCTCTCCTTTCCCTTTCCCCCTTACGTCTCCTTATCTTTCTGATGCCTTCTCTCCTTAATTCACTTTCTTTGTGACTCCTCTCTGCCTCTCTCCCTTCTTCGCCTCTCTCCTCCCTCTCATCCCACTCACTGTTTCCCCTCTCTCTGTCGGAGTGTTGGCTCAGTCAGTAGAGCGTCCGCCTCACAACCGGGAGGTCGTTGGTTCGAACCCCGACCGCGTCATACCAAAAGACGTTAAAAGATGGGAGTTGTTGCTACCTTGTTCGGCGTTCAACAATAAGGGATAGAGCAACGTCGATCTGGTGCTGCTCAGTGGCTGCCGGGCTCACGATCAATTGGGCAAAAAGAATTTCCGTTTCGGTTTAATAAAATTTGGAGTGGACTATTAGGCTATTATTATTATTATTGTCTCCCTCATAAAGATGGTATCTTGACCTGGACACCACCTGACCTGAATGTATCATCCATCGAAATCATTGTGATGGACAACCGAGGAGCAGAGACATCACTGGCATACAAGGTCTCGATCTGCCGATGTGAGAACGAAGGCGTGTGTGACTTTGACAACCAAGCTGAGGGGCAGGATCTAAATGCCAACGGATTTGCGGTGAGTATATTGGTATAGATTTTAGTTATACGACACATGCTCTGATTATTATGGAAGAAATATATTATCACTATATTTAATTACGTGTGGTAAATTCCCTATTAAACCCACTCCCCTCCCTTCTGAGTAAATCTACATGTTGTTATGGCGTGAGGGGTTCAAATGATCTATCTGACCACTAAAACACAAACTCAGGTTATTATGAAAATGAGGTAAAAAGGTACTGCACTTATAAATCCATGACCTGGACTGTTTCCAAGTCACACCCCCAATCACCTGACAAAATAACACACCCTCAACACTATAACGGAGACAGTCCTAATTGCTTTTCGTGTTTCAACGGGTGAATTTTCGGTGGTTGCACAATCTGTGTGGGATGCGTGTAATGGAGGAGGACAAAGATGATTGAAAAAATGGAAATATATAAAAATGGACAAAATCTGGACTACACTTATACCATGCTTGGCTGTTTTGATAAATTTCCCCTTCACCGAATCTGACTCCGTTTCTGACACATTTATATATTCATGATAAGCATGAATGTACTCATAACAATGTATTTACAGGTGGTTATGTGCAACTGTTCTGGTGGTTGGTCGGGTGATCATTGTGATGTAGACTATGATTCATGTGAGGGTACGCCCTGCTACGATGGGGTTATCTGCTTCGATGAGCCTCCGTCTTCAGACGAAGAGTACACATGCGGCCCTTGTCCATCCGAGCTCTCAGGCGATGGTACCACTTGCTTTGGTGAGCTTGATTTAAAGGGGCCAATCATACATATTCTTCTTTCTCCCCCTTTCTTTTCTTGCTGTGAATGTTTTGTTTTATGGGTATACTATATTTAAACGTTTGGCTTTCAACACTACCTTTGTGAAGAGAGATTACAAATAAATTGTTCTCATAGTGAAGGTACACAAGCAACTCGTGAGTAGACTGCTCGACCCAAATGCTAATATTTCACTTTAATCTTAATATAAGCCACTAAATTGTAGAAGAATGCATTTAGAAGACATTTTAACAGTAAGTTAGTTTAAATAAATTTGATTTAAATTCAATCATACTCAGCACAAAATATTGTGTTGGTTTCTTTTTCACGAGTTAAGCAGCGAATGCTGGACATTATCTCCTTCTGTCAAATGCAATGGCATTGTATGATACGGATTATTCAAGTAGGGGATAAGCCATTTTCATATAAATTGTCCTTAAGTCTGGTTCATCTCATCTTTTACCATGTCTCTTTTTAGATTTCAATGAATGTGCTGATAACGATACGAATGACTGTGAACAGAATTGTGAAAACAATCTAGGTTCTTACACGTGTTCGTGTAACACCGGTTATATGCTTGCCATCGATCAACGTTCCTGTGACGGTAAGTAAACAAACAACTGCAAAATAATGATACTTAAGGGTGGCAGTGGGGTAATATATCGTGTTTTCACGCACCCTATATTGATTAAGAATATCTTGTAAAGCATAGAAGCTACCCCCTATAAACTATATACTGTTTGAAAGCTTTTATTCTGAAGAATAAGATAATAACAACCACAAAGCCATTCAACTTTTAAATATAATAAAAGTGGAATGAGAGATTTCCAAACAAAACAATTAGAGATTTTTCAGAAATAAAAACTGCAACCACTACTACTCAGAAGTGTACAGGTATATCACTTGTTGGATTTAAAGGTAGATAGTATGTTTATATAACTTGAATTTAATGATGGCTTTTTGAAAAATTCTGCTGTTTTTACAGTGAGATAAAAGTGATTTGAAAAATCAGAAAACCTCATGAAAAACAGAAATATTTTTGTTTACCATATAGGTACTCTTAAAAACCATCATCAACACATGTTTTTCTCCTTGAAATAAACATTTCCTCCAAATTTGAACGTAATTGAATGAATAGTTTTTAAGTTATAGCAATTTAAATTTGAAAATGATAAATGTTGGCGTTAAAATGTATGAAGAATATCAGTAGGTGTGCACTAAATATTCCATGGAAAAGAAAATTTGTTGCTTCTCCTAAATGATGACTGGAGAAGAAAGTGAAGCAGAAGTTTATATGTTTAGGAATAAATGCTCACTTGATACCTGTTTCAAAGATATTAGATGATAATGAATTAGTCATTGTACATTCCGGATCCATAACCACATCCATATTTGAGTAATTATTTCAACTTCAGGTTGATATAGTGCTTGACATCAATTACTTAATCCTTAATTAGAAAAAGAAATATATACCTGTATCCCATAACATTGGTATTTTTGAAAGCTTCCACTTCATACTAAACCAGGAAATGTAAAACTCTTTTTTTTTTCTCATTTAATACCCCACTGCCTCCCTTAACCAGTATTTTGGACCATGTAAAGAGAGAAACAAACATAAAAATAATTCCTGACAAACAATCTCAGAAAAGTAAATAATTGTAAGAGAAACAAGGCTGATGGTAAGGGTGTGGGCCCGTGTGTGTGTATGCGTGTATATGATATGTACCTGTTGTCTTAGGATTTTTTGGAACAGTCGCTCTCATAAAAACAAGTTTCTTAAATTTAAAAAAGTTGTCTTCCGGACAAAGGTTTATAATAACATGTTTAAAGGGGAAAGTTTACCCTGATATTAAGTTGGTTTTAATATAAGCAGAACAATGAAAATTGTCAGAGGGAAGTAAGCATACGACCTAATTGATAATTCATCATTTCTTGTAACATTAACTGTAATCCTAATCTTTACCTAAATCTTAACTGTAAACCTACCCCTAACTTATCAATAGTCAAAACATTTTTGAACCACAACTTGAATACAAATCAACATAAACATATCATGGATTAACATTTACTGAATATATCATAAAGAAATTTCTCCATTGATTGACTGATTAAATGATTGATTCATTTGTATTTGTATAAAGTATAAGTGTGTTTACTTTATGGAATATATGAGAGAGAGAGAGAGAGAGAGAGGATAGCCCATTAAAGGTGAAAATTGGTTTATTTCCAATAACCATTAGTATTGCATATGTTAGGAGAAATTTTAATGGAGCTTTAACATGAAAGTTTTTCTTCATGACATTTTTATATTTTAATATCAAAATTTTGCTTCATCTTATCACAGAGATAAGTGAATGTGATGAGGCCCTGATGGATTCCACTGCATCTGTCAATTGCACATGCGAGCCTGGTTTTCAACTTGAAAATGGAACCTGTTCAGGTATGTTAGACAGGCCGTACCAGGATTTCACGGGGAGCAAAATGAGGTCAAGGATTATTTTATAAATGGGGGTGGAGGTCCATAACAGATATGTGTCACGTTTTACCAGCCCTTCTAAACCTGGGTGAGGACAGACAAAAAAAAAATATTTTGACTATGGTAGTTATAATTGTTATAACTGGCCATTTAAACAAGGAAGAGTGATGATTATAATCTGTAATCTTGTACTGACATGCAAACGAAACAAATTTCCAATCATTGGACAATAAATTTTGAATTGAATTGAATTGAGAGGCGAGAGAGAGAGAGAGAGAGGGGAGAGAGAATTTTAACAATGTGATAGAGCATTACAAATAAAAAGATTCTCCTTAAATATTCCTGAATTTAACAAATGATATGTTCTCATTAAACCCAGTTCTATGACAATGACTTGTTAATATCAGATCTGCTTTCAACTGTTTTGCCATTTTTATTTATAATTCTGACTTCAATTCTGTTATTTGACAAAGATTTCTTGTTACTCATCAGATTTTGATGAATGTGCATCTGATGTGGACCTATGCCCGCGTGATATATCTACCTGTTTCAACCTGCCTGGAGACTACAACTGCACCTGTCATTCAGGATACGACAATTCATCCCCTAAAGAGTGTCAAGGTATGAACTAGTAGCAGCTTAGTGGGGGGGAGGGGGGGGGGGGTTCAATTCCCCCTACAAAAATACTTCAAGGCCCCTATTCTTGAATACTTTTGAATCTAAGCGATGCAATCAAAGCAAGATCCTCAAGACCCCAAGCCCCCAACCTCCAATAATATGTATATTTACAATTCAATTTAATTGTAATTTAATACCACAAAAAAACATACATACATAGCACTATAATTGTTAATAGATTACAAAAAATAGAATACATGTCGGCCTGTCTACATTGGTACAACAATATAAAAGTTGCTTAGCAGGTAGCGTGACCCTAATAAGTGGCCGGCCTAAAGATTATAATTAAATGATAATTATCAGTACCAAGGATATGACAAAATACAACAACACAGGTTCAAAATATATATAACACAGTGCCTGGCATTTAATATTCCAGATAAATGGGAAGGGAATTCCAAATGATAGGTGCTTGGTACATAAAAGATTTTTGAGAAAAATGAGTATGCATATGTATAATTATAATAGCCGTGCCTGGTATTAACTTAATTAAAAACTCAGATTTTAAGTAATAAATAAGCCCAAGACAAAACATTTTTATTTATCACACCGCTTGTAAGTGAGCGTTTTAGTGAGGGAGAGACAATAGAGTAGGAGGTGAAAGAGAGAGTGAGACTGTGAGAATGAGATGGAGAGTCACAGAGAGAAAGGGAGGGAAGGATAAGGTGGGGGAGAAAATGTAGGTCACACATTATGGTATGTGATCAGGTAGCAGAATGACACAAGAGGTTCACAGATTGTAACATTGCCAGATATGTGTGAGCATGGTGGAATATGTCAGAGCGTGAAAATAAAAAAGGAAAAAAACAGAAAAGATAAAAAAAGGGAATAGTAATTGAATTGTCCATACAGGTTATAGGTTCATTCTAAAATAATTGATAGCTACCTTAATCACTTAACAAACTTTTCCTTTCATGTTACAGCTGATATTCTAAGCAAATAAATGTCCCTTAATTTGGTACTTGCGGCAAGCATATGTTATTTATCAGTTTTTCAATTACATAGTATATCACTAACAAATTCTGGCTACTCGAAATCCTTGATTGAAATGTTGAAAATATCCGCCTCTCTTTGCATATAAAATCAGTCGCAGCGCTGGTCTACTATATATATGACATCACGTCCGGGAAAGAGTATATTCACGTACCCGGATGTTCCATAGAAAGCATGTGCAGAGAGATACGATTTTCTGCTTATTTTGTTTCAAAGGCTGAAAAGTCTAATAAATCATAATTCTATGTACAATTCTTTACCTTCCCTTAATATTTTATAGTATTAATATCAATTCCCCTTTTAAAAATGATTACATATACATGCCAACGATGTGCTATATTAGTCGATATTTTCACCATGTAATTTTTGTTTTGGTGTTGATTGTTAAAATCGGCCCAGGCACGGAGTGAACTGTAGCGCTGTCTGGTAAGTGGACTGATGCACCGTTCATTACCATACAGCGATATCCCGATGGTTTCTCCTTCCCTTTTCCCATGTCTTTCGCCTTCCTTGGCCCTGAAGATCCTTCATCTTCTTCCATGCTGTGCATTGTGCGATCTACCAATTCTGACACCGGTAGTCACTGAGGAGCAGGTCTTTGTTAGTTGTTTTTCCATCACAAGCAAGCTGCTCCTAGAGCAGCGGCCTGGTCTTACCTCCCGATTCTGCTCGCTTCACGAACGTTCGTGCAAGAGCCGCATCACTCGCGGATGACTATCGTTCGATCATTAGACGTTGTCAAAATATTAAGAGGAGGTGATGGCTACAGGGAGCAGACATGGTCTGGTTTTGTGATATAAAATCCACTTAATCTTGCACTTTTAACTGCAGATCGTGTATTTTATTTACCTAATTTTGCTTCTTGAACATATCTTCAAGCTTTTGATATAATTATTTTGTTCTTTGATACCTTCTGGAGGTAGAATATTGTGATAGTTTTACAGCCATTTTCTGCCAAGGAATTTGAACACACACCTGTAGTCCCATATGGAAGATCCTGAGTTTGCTTATTTTGCCCAGCCTTCTTCATACCTACACTACAGGCAACAATAACTGTAATGTATATTTTCTGACTGAATCATGCTTATATTATTCTTATGATATAGAAGCAATTACTCACCGGGATTTAAATCATTTACCAGATGATTTAGCTAACCGTCTACTACTACTAATAGCTAACCTACATAAAATGGGTGTAGCTGAGTGAGTGAGACTGCTGAGCTTTTCTGACTTCCCTTTGTTTGTTCTGAATACGTATTGAATATTGAATACTGTCCTGCCAAATTTAATCACCGGTATTCATCCCCGTTCGACTTGCAAACGCCATCATGAAGAATTACTTCTTACCACCCTCTTCTTCTAGATCACATCCACTCCTTCTAGCAATACTCTCAATAGTGTGTGCACTTAAACTATTGAAGAGTGGAAACCTGTACACGCAGATTGCAGACCATAGATCAGCTTCTTTACCCTTCTTCGATCTACACGCAACGCTTTGTGAACCAAGATCACTACACCAGCCTACTAGAAGGCGTACTTACACTGCAGATATTGATAACTGCAAACTGTTACTTTTTATATCATCCTGTAATAAGTGGAATCGAAATACAAAGCTTTGTCCACTTGACTTCAGGTCGACTTCTTTGAGCCACCTAACCATCCTACTTCTCCTCAGCGGACAAGTTGAAACCAACCCTGATCCATCAACTAGTGCTCCTGAGACATTTCCATGTGCCATCTGTGGGGATGAAGTGAGAGACAACGACCCTGCTCTCTTATGCGATCACTGCGACTGCTGGTGCCACATCTCATGTGTCGGTATCTCCCCAGACTCCTATGATATCTTGACGAAGAAGTCCAGGAGCTTCGCTTGGGTGTGCTGCCAGTGTTCCTCTACCAACATAGGGTCAAGCAGCTCGCTGCAAGGTCTTAACCTCTCACAGACCAATCGTTTCTCACCCCTTCACCACGACTCCAGTAATGAAGAAATCCTTCACTCCAACCCTCTAACCTCTACGCCTACATCGAGCCCTGGGGGACGTCGTCAACCACGATTTCACCCTCCATCAAGAAATCGCAAAAAGGCATTTAAAGTGATGGTTGTAAACTGCAATGGTCTTAAGGGGAATGCTAAAAAATCAAGCTTCCATGCAGCTATTGCTCACCACACTCCTGATTTTGTTTTTGGTTGTGAATCAAAACTGGATGACAGCTTATCATCATACTCAATCTTCCCAAGCAATTACTCCATCTACCGTAAGGACAGAAACATCCATGGAGGTGGTGTTTTCATAGCAATCATCGACACGCTAATTGTCACTGAATGTCCAGAGTTTGACTCAGACTGTGAGATACAGTGGTGCAACGTGCAACTTGCAAATGCCAAGCCACTGTATATTGGTAGCTACTACTGCCCCCCCCCTCCAACAACAGACAACAAGGTCTTGAAGGCTTGCACCAGTCATTGTCCAAGATTATGACAAGGCACCGGCGCAGCCACCCTAACATCTTGATAGCCGGCGACTTTAATCACCCAGACATCAACTGGGATGACCAGTCGACTACAAATCCAGCCACTTCTACTTGTCACCAGAAGCTGTTGGATATCCTTTTGCACAACTCCTTGTCTCAAACAGTCAGGGAAGTCACCCGACCTTCATCCAACAACATCCTGGATCTAGTTGTGACGTCAAATCCCGCCCTGGTTGAGAATGTGTGCGTAAAGTCTGGGATATCAGACCACAACATCGTCACTTTTACTCTTGCTGCAAATCCAAAGATCTCTGTCAAGCCCCTGAGGAAGATCTACCAGTTCCACAAAGCTGACGAAAAGCAACTGAGAGATGCAGCAGCCGAATTTGCGACGGAATTCCTCCAATCAGATCCAGAAAGAAGATCAGTGGAGACAAACTGGTCCATCATTGTCAACTTCTTGAACAGGTGTTTGTCTGAGCTTATTCCTTCCAAAATGAGCAAAGGAAGGAAACATCTTCCTTGGATTACTCCTCCTTTGAAACGCCAGATGAGGAAGAGAGATAGCCTATTCAAGAAGGCACACAGCCAGTCTTGCTCCACAGCTTCGACAGCCTACCGACAATTCAGGAACCAAGTTGCCAAGAATGTGCACAGAGCACGTTGTGAGTACGTCAACAACATCATCGGGGCAAGCCTTAAGGACAACCCAAAGTCTTTCTGGTCTTACATCAAGACATGTCGTTCTGAAAACATTGGTATTCCTACCTTGCGTACTCCATCTAAACTATGCGCCTCAGCATTAGACAAGGCAGAGACACTGAACGACTACTTCCAGTCTGTCTTTACTCCTCACCAGCTCAAACCTCTTGTACAGAAAGGACCTTCTCCTTTTCCAACTATTGGTCACCTGCATGTTCACAGGACTGGTGTCGAGAAACGCCTCCAACAACTGGACCCTTCAAAGGCCAGCGGACCTGATGAACTTCCACCCAAGCTCCTAAAGTTGGTAGCTCGCGAGATTGCTTCTCCACTGTCCTTCCTGTTTCAACAAAGCTACAACAGTGGCATCGTTCCAGCCCAATGGAAACAAGCACTGGTTACCCCTATTCACAAGTCGGGAGAAAAGTGTGACCCCTCCAACTACAGACCGATCTCACTTACTTGCGTTTGCTGCAAAGTCATGGAACACATCATCCTGAGCCATGTGTCGAAGCATGTTGCAGTGAATAATATCCTCACTGATGCACAGCATGGCTTCCGACGAGGGTTGTCAACAACCACTCAATTGACAACAGCCGTCCACGACTGGTCCTCCATCCTACAGCAGCGTAGCCAAGCTGATATAATCTTCTTGGACTTCAAGAAGGCATTTGATCGAGTACCACACCTTCTCCTGTCAACCAAACTTCAGTACTATGGAATAAGTGGTGACTCACTCCAGTGGATAATGTCTCTCCTCACTGATAGACAACAGGCAGTCGTAGTTGATGGATCCAAATCAACATGGAGGGATGTAACATCTGGAGTCCCCCAGGGATCCGTCATTGGCCCTACCCTCTTCCTGTTGTATATCAACGATATCCAAGACAACATCCAGTCCACAATGCGTCTCTTCGCAGATGACAGCACCCTCTATCGTGAGATTCGATGCCCTGAGGACCCTCAAATCCTAAAGGACGATCTCCAACAGCTGTCCAGGTGGTCTTCAAACTGGATGATGGACTTCAACGTGAAAAAGTGCGCTATCCTCACCATCACACGGAAGCGTACTCCCAGCATCCGAGAATACTACCTGTCAAATGGACTGATTCCGAGAGTGAAAGAGTACAAGTACCTTGGAGTAACGGTTGCTGCTGATCTCCGTTGGAACAAGCACTGCCAAACCATCCGGCATAAAGCAAGCCGTACTCTAGGTCTTCTTCGCAGGACTCTCTCACCCTGTACCAGGGATGTAAAGTCCAGGGCCTACACAGCCTTAGTGCGCCCCCAATTGGAGTATGCCTCGGAGGCTTGGAACCCACACAGCGTCATGGTCACAAAAATGCTAGAGCAAGTACAAAGAACAGCGGCTCGCTTTGTGTACCGTGACTACAGATACACCACATCACCATCAGCTCTTGTGGCAGCTCTAGGGTGGGACACGCTTCACACACGTCGAATCCTCGACCAATGCACCCTTCTCTACAAGATCCATCACCGACTTGTCTCCATACCTGCACCAACTATTGTTATCCCTGCTACATACTTCGGAAGACATGACCACAACCTGAAGTATGTAATTCCTGTTGCAACTATCGACTCCTCTCACTAAGAGATAAGGATCTGGAACCATCTGCCAGGCTCAGCAGTCAATGCAACAGGAATAACCAACTTCAAGGAGGCTGCTCTACCCTCCATCAGAATGATGCAGCCCCCCCCCCCCCCCCGTTGGTTCTCACATCATATAAGCTTACTAGCTTGGTTTTTACTTGCACTGGACTTAGCATATTTTACTGTAAATTGACAAGTGCTTTGTCCACACACCATTCCAGCAATTCATGACACTCCTTGTAGTCACTTGCCTCACCTACCATCCCAGTATAGCTTCCTGAGTGAGCTGCCAAAGGGATTACCCAACCAAGTACCAAGAGGAAGCGCGCTTGCATGATCCCGTTCAAGTTTGATATTTACAACATAAAATGTTTAACTGGTACTGTATCCTTTTTTGAGGCAGTCACACACATCTATGATAAGTACTATCATAGTTCTAGGCCTATTCGTTTTACAAAACTGCTCCTGTACCTTATCTGATGACAAGATAATGCATCCGCCTATTCATACGTGCATGATTTACCTTATTTCCCAAGCAGTAAACTCGTCTGCAATCTCTATAAAATAGGTGAATATATAAAAAGAAATCAGCGACTGAAAAATGATGCTTCGTTATTCTTCATTCATCGGTCAAATGAAAACAGAAAATCCATCAAATATACCGGTACTCATTAACAACAACAAATCTAAGCTCTGACAGGATAGCATTTACGTAGATATATCATTGCCATTCACTCTCACTGAGCCCATGAGTCCCGTTCGTGACGTCACGGATAGAGGCCCGACTCTACATGCACTTCCGGGTTTCAGACTTAGATAGTTTGGTAGAGTTTACTCGCATAAATTCACCATTCTAAACTTGTTTTTGTCAGTTGGACACCGGTTTAGTGTTATTCTGGGGGTTAAAAGCTTTCTATTGATGTAATTATCTCAATATTTGGGATTGTCTAATACCAACTGTAATGCTTCCTGTAACATTATGTCATCTCTCTCGTTCAATATACAACCTTGTTCTCCCTTTGTGCCCTTTTAAACAGATATCGATGATTGTGAATCGAGCACGGATGTCTGCGAGTCCAGCCTAGATCGTGTTTGCAGGAACACACCCGGTAACTTCTCGTGCGTGTGTGCAGTGAGAACACAACAGAAATCAATGGAACCTGCCAAAGTATGAATCTATTTAGTTTGTTTTCTTAATGACCGGCGTGGTACGAAATTACTGTGAAATATGTTTCGTATTTGGCAACATTTGGTATGCCCTGTATTCGGACTGAAAATTTTGATTCCCAATTTAGAGGGCAGATCCAAAATTAAAAAAAATTAAAACTCCCGTATAAGGCAACATAATTCGATGGGAACTGTCAAAGTATGAATCCCTTTTGTATTTGTTTTCCTCTCAGTTAAATCAAGCAATTTAAAATATTTGGGCTTATTCTCAAACTTAAATGTACTTTGTAAACCTTTTTTGTTTCATAGATACTTATCAGTATTTTGTTACTATTATAGTTTATTTGTTCTATTATATATTGTAATAGTGTATGGTTTATACTTGTTATTTTATTTTTGGATGTTTGAGTGGAAAAAAGATTCAAATCAAATCAAATATATTTTCTAATCCAATTCAATATAACCTGTCAATCACTTGTTGATTTAGCAACATATCTATGCCATGTTCTCCTAATGAAGACTTTAAGAGAAATTCAACTATAGGGCGGATCTGCATAGGGAGGGGGGAGGGTCAAAACTTTTGTTCATGTGCTTCGCTCGCCAGCAAGATGTGGAAACTTGAAAGATGATTTTCGAGGAAGAACTGTCTCCATCCCTTTAGATGAAAATGTATACAAACGACCTTTATTTTAAAGAAAGTAGTCTATTTAAAGATTAGATCATTATCTACTAATTAAGCATAAGATTCCAATAACAGTGTATTTCTTGTGTTTTT